TACTAAATCATCAAGGTTACAAAAGTTCTTGAAGTCAAGGAGAGATAAGGATGTTGTTGAGATAAGAAATGAGATTGATAAATACCTTTTGGAACCTCCCGTGAATCTTACCGATGATGAGTTCAAATTGCTTGATTGGTGGAAGGAGAATGCTACAAAATTTCCAATACTTTCCAATGTTGCAAAAGATGTATTTGCTGTCCAAGCATCAACTGTGGCTTCGGAATGTTCTTTTAGCACAGGAAAGAGAGTTGTAGATCCCTTTAGGAGTTCATTAACTCCAAAAACCGTGGAGGCATTGATTTGTTGTAGTGATTGGTTAAGGGTGGAGGAGTTTAGCTACTACAAAGAACCCGCATTGGATGAGTTAGATTTCTACCAAGCTTTGGAAAAAATGGAAAAAGGTTTTCTTTCTTTTCTACATTAATCATAATTTGTAGTTTCTTTGTGTTATTAATTCATATGTTTACTAACTGTTTTTTCTTTCTTTGTGCAGAGGTGCAAATTTGATTTGAATATGAAACACCTCATGGAATTGTATGTGTATATGTAATGGACATTTATTTGTTTTTATTTGGATTTTCGTTAGAACTTTGCAAATTGTGATTGAGATTACTCTCACAATTTGCTATGGACTGTATAATATTAATTTTTGTATTTGGACGTGTGGTGGATGATGATTTGCTATGGTTTTAAGGTTTTTTGAAGTATTTGAATGATGAAAATTTTAGATATGCAGAGTTGGAGATTCTGGAAAAACTGTACAGGAACTATCAAAACTGGAAAAACTGGAATTGTTGTACAGGAACTGTCAAAACTGGAAAAACTGGAATTGTTGAAAAATCTGACCAAAAAACTTAATGGGCCTAGAAAACTGGAATATAAAAAAAAAAACCCTAAAATTGTTGCTTTTGTTGGGCCTCGACAAATACCCGAACCGAACCAACCCGGCCCGACACATTCGGGTTTCGACCAAACTCAAAAATGGGCCTAAAAAAGAGGTCCACGGTTTTGCATTTGGGCCTGCCGACAAGGCCCGGTTCGGCGTGCGGTTTGGGCCCATAATCGGCCCGACCCGACCCGTGTGCAGCCCTAAGTTTTTCATTGAACATCAAATAATATTCACCAAGCAAAACAACAATAATATTCATATTTATAGTACTATATATAAGCATCAAGATTAAAAGTGACATAGCCCAATCATCGGGAAATTAAGAAACCCTACCTCATGTCCAACTAACTAAAGTACCAATTTACCCTTCGGAAGTTCTCGGATTCGTTGAATCAACACTTTTGATCCAAGTCTTGAACAAATTCAAATTCAAATTATTATTGGGCAGTCTTCGTTCTATTTCACCTAAACTTAACACCTCAACCTTACACATTTCAAAGATTCTGCATAAAAATGACAAAAATAACCTTAGGACCAACCCAGGGTTCAAAGCCATCAAATCTTGTCCAAAATAATCTAAAATTGTGCCCTATGCCCTGTCAACACCGAAACAAGGTCAACGACACCCGTTGTCCAAAAGTCACCATTTGGGTCCATGGGCCCCACATCAATTGATACTTCAAACAAAATCCGCCTCGATACATAACCTCGAATTGACTCAAAACATATACCATCATACTCAAATAGAGAAATTGAGTCAGATAGACTAAAAATACGACATCAGAGGCTGTCGAAATAGCCGCCACGCGCCTCCACTCGTCGGTTGCTAGTGGGCTTGGCTTGTAGTTACTGTTCATCTTCTCAAAAAATCTAGACTCGTGTCTAATTTTCTACCGAAAACAGATTTTGTTCAAACTTTTGTAGCCGCGTTTAACACAACTAAACTTAACCAAATTCGACGAAACTAATTTTGTTTTGTTTGTTGCCAAGTCTAGTTTACAATCCAATAAATAACTTCCTCAAACACCCAAAGTATTGGGAGAAAAAGAGAGCCAAAGTGAGGCTCACGAACTAAAAATTTTTAGAAAATACAATTTTCCAGATTTGGTTATAAGTAGTTTTCAACCATTCCTTCTTATAGCTTCTAAAATCATTCCAAACTTCACACCTACAATTAGAACTCATTAGTCCTTGAAGGAACTCAAAACTTTGAAGGAACCCAAAACTTTAAAATTACTCAACACACCCAAAAACAAAATTGGTTCTCTAATCCACTTCTAAGTGATCTTCCTACCTCTCAAAAGACTTGCAACAACTATAAAATCAAATTAAATCCATGAATTAACAAATTGCTTGAAATAATAAAGATCATCACCTTTCAATACCAACTCAAGAACATTTCCAAGCTTCTTCATCTTCCTCTCCCTCTCACTCTCTCCTCCCTTCATCCAACTCTTCGTAGCTCTAATAAAATCATATTCATCATTGAGGAATCTTAGCCTAGGTGACTCATCTCCTAGTAGTCTTCCAACTCACACATTAGGTTAATGACTCATCTATACCAACTCATCTCCAAAATGATTGTGGACTTGAAAACTTGAGGCAAGGGGGAAAAGAATGGGAGGAGAGTGGGCTGCTGCCTTACACGTTGCAGATTCCTTTTTTTTTTCCCCCTACAAGGGTATTTTGGTAATTTTCACACATAGGGATATTTTGGTCATTTTGGATCAAAATTCAGAAACGATTTCCTACGTGTTCGTTGAGTCAACTACTAACGTCCTACCTAAGAATCATACTTGTCACAATTCAATTTCTTAAATGTCCTTTGAAAAATTCACAAAATGTTACGTAGGGGCATTTTTGTCCAACTAGAAATGAAGCGCACTTAATCCAATAGTCTCAATCCAAAATCACTTGATAAAATATCCATAATCATTCTTTACCATAATATTATTTTTGTTCTGAAATATGAAAATCCATTAATTTTTCGGGGTACTACAAATCTTCTTTCAAGGGGAAAAAAAAAGGAGAGAGAGAGAAGGAAACAGCATCATACCGCAAACTATTTATAGTCCAAAACTTTATTTTGAGTTGTTTCCAGTTTTACTATTTTGAACAAATTTAAGACTTCAAATAATAAGAAAGGGGAAAAGAGACAATACAAAGCCAAACACATATGCCCTTTTGAGTAGCGATGGCTCTGAGATTTTAGGGGTCCTTTGCAAAAATAACAAGAGGCCTCCCAAAATAAAGTCTTCAACGAAAAAAATCAAACTATATAATCAAAAAATTTTGATCATCAAATTACTAATTTACAAAATAATATACAAAATATAAGAAAAATAAAATATGAGAATTTGAGAGAGTGAGAGAGTGAGAGAGTTGAAAGGTTGAAAAAAAAATTAAGATACATGCAGCTGGAAAAAAAAAATTGCATACAACGTTGTATGTTGGAGATCTCTTATATTGGGCAACATGAAATTCAATATTAAATAAAAAAAAGAAAAATCAACATTAATATCATCCGATTAATATAGGAGAAGCCAAAGCAATCGATACCAATATAATAAGGATCCGGATCCAATTAATAAAATAATATTTATTATGGGGCCCAGCTTTCTTTATTTTATAATGAAATACAAATGAAAAGTGAATATTAACGATATTAAATTAAGGTAATTTTCACTTTACCAAAGTAAAGTGTACCGACTTTTAAAGTTCGATACATCAAAATTTTTTTCTTCTCAATCGCATACACAAAGTTGATTTTCTTACTAGTTTCATACATGTTGTGAGTCTTTATATTAACATGTTTGTGAATTGCTGACATGGCAACAAATATGCCACGTACACTCACTCATATAATGCCTTGTGGTCCACATATATTATTAAATAAGTAAATAAATATTAATTAATTCATTAAAATTTTAAAAAATTTAATACAAAAGTCCCTCTTTCTCTCTCTCTCTCTCCCCCCCCACCTCTCCTTGGTCTCTCTCCCTCGCGGCCCCTATCGAACCCACACCCCCAAGCCCAACACCACCATACAACCATTCTTATCTGCAACCGAGATCCACCCCTAGCCCCACCTGAGAGCATCCAGGTTTTCTCTCTCTCTCTCTCTGCAAATTCAAAATTTTAAAAAGAAAAAAAAAATTTAACACTTTGCAT